AAACTGATAAAATAGGTTTTATCACTATTAAACGTACCTTCTCTTCAAAGGACACTATTAAGTGAACTTAAAGACAAGCCAGAGGCTAGGAGAAAATATTTTCAAATCGCATATATGACAATAGACATGTATCAGAATTCATAAAGAACTCTAAAAATTCAACAATGAGGAAATGGACAATTTGATTTTTACAAAAAGCAAACAAAAGTTTTGAATGGTCACAAATATACGGAAGAAGAATATATACAGACAGCAAATAAGCATATGAAAAAAATGATCATCATTAGTCACTATGGAAATGTAAATTAAATCATAATAAAATACCACTAAACACCTATTAGAATAGTTCAAGTTAAAAATATTGACCATACCAATTTTTGTCCAAGATATGGAAGAATTAGAATTCTAATATACTACTGGGAATGTGAAATGATACGACCACTTTGGAAAATTGTTTGACAGTTAGATGTATACCTACTTAGTCCAATTACACTGCTATAGTAAAATAGCATAAACTAGGCAGAGATTTATTTCTCACAGTTCAGGAGGCTGGGAAGTCCACGACCAAAGTGACAGATTCAATGTCTGATGAGGCCTGCTTTTTGGCTCATAGATGGTACTTTCTCACTGTGTCCACACTTGATGGAAGGGGTAAGGCAGCTCTCCATGACCTAATAACCTCCCAAAAGCCCTACTTCCTAAGATCATTACATTGCTGATTAGGTTTCAGTGTAAGAATTTTGGGGGAACACAGATATTCAGACCACAGCATCCACTAATTTATCCAACCATTTCATTTCTAGGTATTTACCTAGGAAAAATTGAAACATATGTCCATACAAAGACTTGTACACACATTCTCTTAAGTAGCCTTACTTGTAATATCAAAAAATTGGAAGCAACCCTAATGTTCATCAACAGGTAAATGGATAAACAAACTATGGTGTATCCATATAATGGACTACTATTTAGCAATGAAAAGAATGAACTATTGATACATACTACTATAGCTCTCAAAATAATTATGGTGAGTAAAAGAAACCAGATGAAAAAAGCATACACTGTATAATATAAAAATTCTAAGAAATAAAAACTAATGTAGAACACATTCAGCACCTAGGTACTCATTTCTAATATCATTTTTTGATAAAATGAACCAAACTTCCTTGGAGATATGGCTGATTCTAAGACCTTAACAGGAAGTATACAAGATGAGTCTGTGCATCTTGTAACACCAGAAAGTAAGAAAGTATGCACACACAATAACCGGAGCATGCTGGGGGCACAGGAGCCAACTGAAAGAGCTCCCAATGCCCAAGGCTGGAACAATTTAAGCAACAAAATATCCATGAGTCCATATAGACATAAATAAAAGATTGAATAAAGTAGTAAATGGGTGAGAATAGGTAAATCTTCCATGCAGGATTCCAAATAAATTATGTAGATGCTCCATTGTAAAGGTACAGCTAACTCCCTACTCCTTAAGTGACTCATAGTGACTTCCTTCCAAACAGTACAGTATGGAAAGAGGAGAAAATGAATTAACTGTGCAGTAGAGAAACCTGACAAACACTACTTCAGCCAGGTGATCAAGGTCAACATCAACAGTCATAAGTCATATTGACAGTATGTACCCTTGATAGGATGTGATTAATATGGCACTTTACCTCTTTGATTTTTCCTCCCCCAAACCCATGACCTAGTCTACTCATGAGGAATAGATGCATCAAATTCCAGTAGAGGAGCATACTACAATATACCTCACCAGTACTCCTCAGGACTGTCAAGGTCATCAAATATAAGGCAAGTCTGAGAAACTCTCACAGCCAAGAGGAGCCTAAGGAGACTTGACAACAGTGAAATGTGCCCTGGATGGGATCCTGGGAGGGAAAAAAACATTAGGTAAACACTAAGGAAATCAAAATTTAACAATGTATCGATATTAGTTCATTAATAGTAACAAATGTATCCTATTAATATGCTAGTAATAGGGCACGCTGTGTGCAAAGGATATATGAACATTCTCTGTTAATCTGCTCAATTTTCTGTAAATCTAAAACTGTTCTGAAAATTTTTAAATTTAAGGCAAACAGACCTAAAAAGTATATATTTAATATAATGCTTAATAAATATGAATTTTTTTAAAAAATCTAATATATAGTGACAGAAAGAAGATTAGTGGTTTCTGGGGGAGTGGTGATGGTAGTAGGGGAAGGGGAAGGGAAAGAACAGTATGAAGGGATTAAAAAGCAGCACAAGGTACTTTTGGAGGCAAAGTGTATATTTATCATTTTGCTTGTGGTGATGGTTTCACAAGTATACACATAAGTCAAACTTAACAAATTATACAGTTTAAATATATGCAGCTTGTTGTATGACAGTTATACCTGTTAATAAAGCATTTTTTCAAACTATAGGGGAAAAAAGCTTCCAAATTTAAATATTCCTCTTTAAAAATAAATTTCAGAATATATGGAGTTGGCCCCATCATGCTTGAATTTAACCTGTGAATTCTGTTTCATTCAAAGATTCATGTATTTGGGGAGTTCTTGTGCCACCATTGCTTATTACCCAGCATCAAATTTCATGGAATAATGGTGATTCAGGGCATCTTTATTATTGTTTTCCCACTTAAAGATTTTGAATTTTACGGCAACAACCAAGTCAAACTATCTGGCTTAAGGGAATTTTTATAACCAACCAAAATTTAGCCAAATACAGCTTGTCAGATTGAAAATGAGGCCAATTGTCAATTTTTTTAATTTATTGTTTCATTTCAGAATATTACAGGGGCACAAGCGTGTTGGTTACATAAATTGCTTTTGTACCATTTGAGTCAAAGTTACAGTGTGTCCATCCCCCAGATAGGGTGCACTGTACCTGTCAGGTGTGAATTTAACCATCCCTTCCTCCCCGCTTCCCGTTTGATTTCTCTTGAGTTTTACTACCATGTGTGCACATGAGTGTTGATTGATTAGTTCCAATTTAATAGCGAGTACATGCAGTGTTTCTTTTTCCATTATTGCAATATTTCACTTAGAAGAATGGTCTCCAGTTCCATCCAGGTTGTTACAAAAGGTATTAGTTTACTGTTTTTATGGCTGAGTAGTACTCCATGGTATATGTGTACCACATTTTATTAATCCGCTTGTGTATTGATGGGCACTTGGGTAGATTCCATCTTTGCAATTGTTCATTGTGCAGCAATAAACATTTGAGTGCAAGTATCTTTTTGAGAAAATGACTTTTTTTACTATTTGATGCCCTGTGAACATACTATAGCTGCTTGCTGGAATTCTCTTTACCCCTCCTCTACCTGCCTAACTCCCACATATCTAAAATTAGTCAGTCAGAGTAAACTAATTTCTAGAACAATCGCCTCCAAAACTCCATGGCTTAACATGATAAAGGTTTCTCACTCATGTAGTCCCTGCCAGGTGATTCATGGGTCCAGGCTACTTACCTCTAGTGGCTCTACTCATCCTGGAGTCTTGAAGTCTTCTTTGGTATCCTCTATACCCAGCTGAGAAAAATTGTGGGCATCAGTCTGGATAGGATTCCTAGGTCCTATAAGGAAATCTCCAAATGATTAACTCCATTTTGAATAGGAGATATTTAAGATGATGTCAAAATACCCAATAGTCTTGGGTTTGAAATACAGATTATTAGTTTATGACTCTGTATCTGCAATATATATTACAATATTCTCTCTCTACTGTCTTCATGAATTTAGATGTGCTCTGTTTAAAAAGCTCAGAGAAAATTGTTTTTAACAATGAGGATATTGGAAAGAGAAAAATACTGTTCAACATCTCTATTGAGGATTCTATGATGTAGCACAAGGAATAAACTGGAGCAAAAAGAAACTTTCCTTAAAGTGCTATATTTTAGAAATTGGAACGCATTCCTTAGGACAAATCAAAGTATGGCACACAACATCCAAATTTCCTGCACAGATAGAGAAGTGTCACCAACTGTCTTCCACTTCCAAATTTCTCTGTCACATGGAGGGCTGTTCAAGAGAAATTTGGAAGCGCTCACTTTTATGGAATTCATAGCACTTTTAAAGTATTTAGGATGATCTTTGATACGTTTATTATTCCAAAAGATAATGTAGCCAAACTTCTTCCTCTGTGTTAAATCTTTACAAAACTGAAATCCTAAAAAGATTTACACAAATTCTGCTTCTGATAGAATCTATTCGTTTTTCCCATTAGATTGGGCATACGTTTTAATTTGTAGTACAAAACCTATTATGCTTATGAGGTTCCATCCCAAAGCACCTGCTCTTCAGAGTGAAATTCAGACTAGCAGGTGGAAATACCCACTCCAGAGTTTCAGATCTGGTCTGTAACTGGTGTAGGGAGGGGCTTTGGGCGGGGCCTCCGAAGAGGGAGGAGGAGTTGTTAGAAAGCTGTGGAGCCAGTCTACCGCTGTCACTAATCTGGTTAAGCCTTGTATTTGAGTGTGAGAGGACTCCGGTGTGTTGGTAGCATTCTCAATGAGAACTAGCTGCACCTGGCATTTGAGTGGACTCTGCAACCAGAGGCGGCTCATCCTCCAAGACTGCTGAGAACTGTGAATCTACAGAGATGATTGTCGCCTGCTGTTGGGAGCCGGCGGAAGCACGACTCTTCCTGAGAATGGGTTGTACCGAGAGGTCCGACTAGCCCCAGGGTTTAGTGAGAAGGGCAGTGGAACGCAGTCAGGGATTAAGAGCTTCATGGCATGCACGGGTTTGAAGCCAAAGGAAAAGTCGGGAGATGAGCCGCGCATAATTGAATCGCTCTCACAGCCGCAGCCACTCCAGTGCCGGACTTGTGAGTACTCTGCGTCTCCTGTCCTAGGACAGAAGCCGGAGGACTCTCTCGGAGAACTCTCCCAGTTAGGAGACAGATCCCTACAACTACCTTTTCCTGCCCTCCCCGCTCGCTGCTGGGACGCAACGACCGCCACCCTTCCCCTGACGACAGGATGGAAGGCAAGGACAGGAGCTGACCAGCGCCGCCCTCCCCCACCCCCGACTCAGGAGGTGGAGATCCCCCAGGTCCGGCCAAATTCAACACCCATTTTCTCCTCCCTCTGCCCCTATATTCTCGACAACCCCTCCTTCCCCTTTTCCCTCCTCCCTAGAGACGGGGGAGGAGAAAAGGGGAGTCCAGGTCGTCATGACTGAGCTGAAGGCAAAGGGTCCCCGGGCTCCCCACGTGGCGGTCAGCGTGCCCTCCCCCAGCGAGGTCGGATCCCCCCTGCTGGGTCGCTCAGATCCAGACCCCTTCCAGGGGAGCCAGACCTCAGATGCCTCGCCTGTAGTCTCGGCCATACCCATCTCCCCGGACGGGCTGCTCTTCCCTCAGCCCAGCCAGGGACAGGACGCCCCAAACGGAAAGACGCAGGCCCAGCAGTCGCCGTCGGACGTGGAGGGCTTATATTCCGGAGTTGAAGCCACAAGAGGTGCAGGAGGCTGCAGTTCTAGACTCCCAGAAAAGGACAGAGGGCTGCTGGACAGTGTCTTGGACACTCTTCTGGAGCCCTCAGGTTCCGGGCACAGCCACGCCAGCCCTCTTGCCTGCGAGGCCACCAGCTCTTGGTGCCTGTTTGGCCACCAGCTTCCCGAAGATTCCCGGGCTGCCCCCACCACCCAGGGGGTGTTGGCCCAGCTCATGAGCCGGCCAGGGGGCAAGGCTGGAGATAGCTCCGGGACAGCAGCTGCCCATAAGGTGCCGCCCAGGGGCCTGTCACCGTCCCGGCAGCTGCTGCTCCCACCCTCTGGGAGCCCGCACTGGCCCGGGGCCCCAGCGAAGCCGTCTCCGCAGCCCGCTACGGTGGAGGTGCTGGAGGAGGAGGACAGCTCCGAGTCCTCGGACTCGGAGGGTCCGCTTCTGAAGGGCAAACCTGTAGCTCTGGGAGGCACCGCGGCGCGAGGAGGAGCCGCAGCCACAGCGCCCGGGGCGGCCTCAGGAAGCGTCGCCCTCGCCCCCAAGGAAGATTCCCGCTTTTCAGCATCCAGGGTCGCTCTGACAGAGCAGGACGCGACAGTGGCGCCCGGGCGCTCCCCGCTGGCCACCACGGTGATGGATTTCATCCACGTGCCCATCCTGCCTCTCAACCATGCCTTCCTGGCCGCCCGCACTCGGCAGCTGCTGGAGGGGGAGAGCTACGACGGCGGGGCCGCGGCTGCCAGCGCCTTTGCCCCGCCGCGCGGCTCGCCTTCGGCCTTGTCCGCCGCGGTCGCGGGTGGCGACTTCCCCGACTGCGCGTACCCGCCCGACGCAGAGCCCAAAGACGACGCGTTCCCTCTCTACGGCGACTTCCAGCCGCCTGCCCTGAAGATCAAGGAGGAGGAGGAAGGCGCGGAGGCCGCGGCGCGCTCCCCGCGTCCATACCTGGTGGCCGGTGCCAATACCGCAGCCTTCCCGGATTTTTCGCTGGCGCCGCCGCTGCCGGCGCCCTCCTCCAGGCCCGGGGAAACCGCAGTGGCGGCCGCGCCCGCCAGTGCCTCTGTCTCGTCCGCGTCCTCGTCGGGGTCGGCCCTAGAGTGCATCCTGTACAAGGCGGAGGGCGCGCCGGCCCAGCAGGGCCCATTCGCCCCGCCGCCCTGCAAGGCTCCGGGCGCCGGCGCCTGCCTGCTCCCGCGGGACAGCCTGCCCTCCACCTCGGCCGCCGCCGCCGGGGCGGCCCCCGCGCTCTACCCGCCACTCGGCCTCAACGGGCTCCCGCAGCTTGGCTACCAGGCCGCCGTGCTCAAGGAGGGCCTTCCGCCGGTCTACCCGCCCTATCTCAACTACCTGAGGTGAGGGCCCGGAGCGGGCGCGCCCGCGAGTCTCGGGAGAGCGAGCTGGCGGCCCGCAGCTCCGGGCTCCGCTCCTCAGGGTGGCCGCGAGGGGGTGGGCACCAGGACAGGGCACCCGGGCAGTTTGCCTCCCTTCTTCCTTCTTCTCCTCACTCTTTTGGGAACCCTAAGGAGGCGCAGAATATGCCATTTTTGGAGCGTGCCTCCCCGAAAGCATTTTTAAAAAACTTTCTGAATCTTGGAGATGGCGAAGCAGGACCAACCCTGATTTAAAATGTGCAGCGTCACACTAGGTCCGCTGTAGCCCAGCGGAGCGGAAAGGGTGCGGCGAGTTGGGGGCTTCATCGAAGGCTCCTTCTTAGAAGGACATTTACCAGGAATGTCTGTCTTGGAGAGGAGTTAAGGCACCGTTCCCCGGGAGGGGTGGGACTTGATGAAAGGTGGCCGGGCAGAACCGAAAGCAGAACCATCTTAGGTATTTGGACAATTTAAGGGCTCAATTTTCATGCGAATTTTGAGATTAAAGTTAATTTTAGTGTGATATGTCTACATTGTGGATTTAAACATCAATCACTGCAGTGCCTCTTTTTCTAATATTGTGTGAGATTCGCCACTTTTTAAATACATGTTTTTAAAACATTTTAATTTACATAGTGAAGTAATGGAATGTAAAAATGCTCTGTTTTGAGTCTTAGGTGTTGTGAAGGCCACAGTGTCAGTGTTGAACAATACTTTAAAATGACAAACACATATGCTTGTTTAAGTAAACAATCATTACAGGGTTGTGTTTTAAAAATTCAAAACAAAAGCATTTCTAAGTATAACTGAACTCTTAAAGCCAAACCATGTTTATTGCTACCCAGCATACAGGAAGGGCACAACATTTCGTTTGTCAAAAACTAAATTGCTTCTTTATAAGGAATTTTATAGAAAGATTTCTATTTAACAAAATAGACTTTAGCTTTCTTTAACATAAAATTATACACTAGTTATTATTCTTTTATGTTGGTGCCACTGATGAATGGCTAATAATTTGCAAGTCTGGTGAATCCATTTACAGGTAGTCTGTTACACCAAGTTTAGTTTGTATGTCTTTCAAGTGTGTGTATATGCAGTTCTATTTTTAAAATCTCCTTTCACCCTGTTAATGCTCGTTTAAGAAACCTTTAGTATTAGATAGTGGCGCACCTAAAAATAAATGGAGTACTTTGTTTTGCATTTCAAGGCAGGATTCAGAAGCCAGCCAGAGCCCACAGTACAGCTTCGAGTCATTACCTCAGAAGATTTGCTTAATCTGTGGGGATGAAGCATCAGGCTGTCATTATGGTGTCCTTACCTGTGGGAGCTGTAAGGTCTTCTTTAAAAGGGCAATGGAAGGTAGGCTCCTTTCCCCTAATACTTTATTATTGGTTTAATTGCAAGTGGAGAGCATCTAATATTTTATAGATTTTAATTATCTCTTATTTCTTCTAAGAAATGGTGATTTTTCCATATAACTTAAAATATATGATGATTTAACAATGTTTTTTATTTATAATACTCAAAATTGAATGTATTTGGATATTATAATTGCATACTCTTTGACCAACACTTTTAATATTAGACACACGTCGTAATAATCTTGAGGACAGTGCTATTATTGTTTCTTAACTATTTAGCTTTCAGGAAACAGCTGTGTTCTAATTGTAATTTTTAATGTATCTATTATATATAAAGCACTTTAAAATTGTGATTAAAAGAAAATTGGTAGTAGTTGAAATTATGTACACACACACTTATATATAGCACACATATACATGATGTAGTTATATAATTTCTACATGCTTTTGTCTTTTCCCTATATGCATGCTTATGTAATACTTACATAGTGGTAATTCTAAACAAAATTTTTAAATTCCTTTTTTGTTCAGTTTATTTTTGTAAGTGTACAAGAGGATAGAAGCGAATGGCTTAAAACAAATGAAACATTTGGACATCACAGTAATATAATTTCTAAACAAGTATTTTGCTTTAAGTAAAACTTTCATGTTCTTAAAATCATTTTAAATTATTTATTTATCTAATGATTTCAGATTGACTTGCATGGTATGTTTCAGACTTTGAATTTCTCTTTCTACCTACGTTAAACTCTTAGCAGCCAAACACATTTATATTTGAAGATAACAATACATTTAAAGATCATGTCAGGTTTTAA